TTTGTACCAACCGCTCAAATCTCTTCTAGCACTATGATTCGTAATCCGTTTACATTTAATTAAATGGATAAACCTATATTTCATATTTGCTACAAAACGAAATTATGAATTGTAATTTTGAATGTAAACGTGATTGTGAACAGTAATATTAGTGATGTGCGTTATGGTGATTGCGATTTCTTATCACCGGCGGGTGAAATATCCCTCATCGCTATTTATTTTGAAAAAATCTTTGGAAATGCAATTTATCTAATGGCGATCCTGCAGAAATAGAAGTAATTGAGCAATTCGGGGTTTGAAAGTAAAAAAATGTATGTATATTCCATGCGTTGAAATTATAAATTTCCCTTGAGGATTTCCATTTTATCGATTGTGATCTCATTTTATGTTCATTAATATGAACTGACCTACATATATAGTGCATTAATGTTTTATCATCATTGTCTTCATCTTTGTCAAAATTACACGGTAACCCGGTATTTATTTTATTTTTTTAAATAATTTTAATTATTTTTTTTTATAAAATTAAATTAAAATTTAAAAAATCAACAAAGTTTCATCAAATTTTCACAGTTTTTGTTCAGAATTTGTAGACATGTTTTGGGCTAACATTTTTGTAGTCCATTCATTCTAGTATAGTAAGGTGAAAGTTTGAAGTGTCTAAAAAATACCATTGATTTTTTGAATTTTTCTGTGTGCGGTGTTGCGCACTTTCTTCCATATAACGAACGTTCGCATTGAATGAATGCGCGTGTAGCGTTGTTGTTTTTTATTCCAATATTTTAAATCAAGCTTTATTTGTATAGTTTTTGTTAGACAATGATAAATGATGTTAAAAAATTTCAGTATGGAAGAAAAAGTGCAACACCTTCAACGAAAAAAGTTCTCAAAAATCTACGCGAATTGAATGTACTATCTCGATCATTTAAACATCTCGGACTCGCCTACCACTAAAAATGATTATTTAAATCTAAAGTATATATTAAATGCTATTTAATATTTGCTTTAGAGAAAAAATTTCGACAAATTTGTTTAAACAAAAATGTTAAGCGCATATGCAGAATGTGGAAGCGAGATTCTTCTGCTTGCGTTTCTACGTTTATATCATTTATCAGTTTAAGCACATAAGATTAAAGGTAAAAAAAATATTTTTAATTGCAGATCCGAAAGAAATATTTATTAGTTACATTGAGTTACGCAAAAATAGTGCCGAAAATCAATCGATTGTGCTGAAGGTGCTGGCTGCTTCCGAAAGGGCCGAAAATGGCACAATGCACACTCATTTTCCATCACTGTCACACATACAATCTCACTATTCTGTTGACTTCGTTTTCCCCTTCCGATAACTTTTTGCTTCCGCGCTTTCCCAGCACCGCTGTGCAAAGCTTTGCACGCGCAGTCGCCCGCGACACATATGCGCTGATTTGGGCATCCCTAAACTAGGTAATCGTTTCAAAAGTTCTTCGATTAGCGAGATTAAAATTTTTTGACAGTCTTTTAATATGCTTCTTAAGTCAAGTTTATCACGCAGTTCATTAGCCTCTTTGCAAAATTACCGTGTATATTTTTATAATTGGAAAAAATTTATTTGAAGGAAAAAAATCGCCAAAAATCGCCAATGGCGCGAAATCGCCAAATCTGGACACTCTGTACAACACAGCCGATCAACAGAGAGTCAGCACGAGACTGTGGTCGTGAACAGACGGCTACTGGCAAGAAGTGACTTCATCTGCACCGGCTCCCGTGTCGGGCTGGATTCCACTTCTGCAACAGCTGCTGGTAAGGGTGATTTCTTCTGCCCGGCTTGAGTGTCGGGCTGGACGTCACCTTCCCAGTTGCAGCGCCACAAGCTACACACCTCAGTATATCCAGTAAACAAACTTAGTAGCTGTTTTTTTCCACCAAATTTGGTCCCCATAAAGGACTAGAGTTGCAGGCAACGCTTTATCGGCAATTAGGGTGTTGTGCAGCAATTAAATGTGGTGAAAATGATTTTAGAAATGGATACAAAAATATTGCAGTGCGCTTGAACATCTCATGTTTAACTGAAATATACATAAATGTATTAAGAATACTTATTTTATTAATACCCATTTATTTATTTACTGTGTCGAAGTGGTTGCACAAATATTTGTAATTTAGTATTTAAGTTAATTGTGAAATATGTATATTAAATGCGCAAATTAAGTTATGGGAGCGACTTGTTTACATGGAATTGGTGATAAGGCTGATAGAAATACTTTAAATAAAATGTGAATGTGCTAAAATCTCTTTTCAGCATATAATTATACTTCTTAACTTTTTTTCCGAAAATTTGCACACAGGGTCGAAATTATGCGAGTAACATTCAGATATCGTCGCTTGGATGAAAAATTGTCGTCAGTGCCATTTTTGTTAACTGTTTTTGGATATCTCCTTTAGTTTCCGAGTTTTTGGCTAAACATTTGTTGGTAGTTTGATACAAATTAAGTTAATAATGCAATCGTACCAAAATAATCAAGATCTTTCAAATAGTGTCATCTGTTTTTGAATATCTTCTTTAATTTCCGAGATATTCAGTCTTATCATGAGTTTCATTTTCCCGAACCCGGTTACTTTCTCACTTCTCGTTTCCGTGTATTCACTACGGATGGCTGAAAAAATTTCGGAGGAAATTGTAATCGGGCGGAACTCACGATAAGGCTGATTGAGTAAAAAGTATCGTTAATTTAGTAAAAAATTGTATCACTTTTTGGCGTATATCATCCAAAGTGACTGCAAAATTGTTGACAAATGTCCCATACTACAAAATTTTATTAAAGAAAATCCTTCTTAAACTAAAAAAAAAGATATTTTAAGAATTTCGTAAACTAGAAGCATTCTCAGACACTTTGGAGAAAATCTGTAGTCGTGGTTTTGAGAAATTGCATTTCAAACTTATATCGTGATTTCCTGAAAATTGCCGGAAGTAACATGCGACAATCTTTTATCCAGGTGACGATATAATATTTAGCTAAAATATGCATCTAAACAAATTATAATTGTCATTATTTTCGAAGACAAGTAACAGATATATATGTACATATATTAAATCTGAACTAGCGCTGTGCTTGTATATTTATCTCTCTCTAACGCCATTAATTCTGTATACATATGTATTCTATGACAAAATATTCACGATAAATTTTCGTAGATTTTTATTTACATCACTTGATACATAAATATTGTTCTAAAAATGTTTGTTTTTACTAAATAATAGGAATAAATATTTAAATATTTAATAAACCTAACCAACTTTTAGTTGCTCGGAGCTAATTTTGGAAGGCTTCCAAAAATATTTTCATAGACGGTACATGCAACCCTGGGTGCAGAATTAATGAGCTGAAAAACCAAAACAAATAGTTTTAAATATTTCAGAAGATTATCTATAGTTTCTTTTACATCATCAAAATTGAGAGCTGTGCCAGCGAACATCGCGTATTTCTCCGCCTTCCTTATTAGCTCATGTATGTAATATATGTATACATATTCGATAAGGCTGTGCTCGAGGCACATATGGCTCGAAACCACCAGGTTTTCCTTCGTTTACTGGAGGACTTGACCATTTGCTCGGCTTTTTAAGAACCTCATCTACAGTCGGTGGAGGGCTATGGGGTGAAGGCTCTGAAACTGATGTTGGTACCATTTCTCCAGCAGCTAGAGGATCATGCAGTAGGGCATTAGCTTCAGCGCTAGCCACCACTAGCACCAAATTTACCGCCGTCGTCGGCAATTGTGAATACAAGCAAGTTCGGCAAGTGTTTGGAGCACATCGTAAATAACGCCACACGAGTATAAAGCATTTACAACATTTTTATCAAACAGAATTTCATTTATTTATACTTTTTTAATACAATAATAATAATGCTGCAACAAGACAAACTTACTTTCCGAAATTCGATCCTGCTTATCGGCATAATTTTCCAAATGTGCCTGCGCTGCTACTTCCATAGTAATATCATAATTTTCCAACTGCGCCTTTTTTGTTGCCTCAACGTATCCTGAAAAGAAATAAATTTACATTAAACAATAGAAATAGCAAAAATTGGCAAACAAAATACTTAATTTTGTTCTGTTGTCAAATTTCTGAGAAATGTGAATTTACCGCGATGCAATCCAGCAAGAACAAGGACCAGGGATGCATTTCTAAGTAAAACTATTATTCAGCGGCAATACTCAGAGCGCTTTAATCAGCAATATTAATTTGTATATTATAAGTATTAATCAGAGTAAATAGATTATATTGTTTTTTTTTCAAAAATTATTGCTTTATATATATTTGCTTTTCAAATATTTCTTAAGTTACTTTCATTAGTATGTACTGAAAAGCAACCATGCGTGTAAGAAATTGTTTGATACCTAAAATTTCACCTCTGGAAACTTTATCCCCATAAAGGACTTCACCACAGTTTTTTACTGGATATACTGAGCTACACACGCTCTCACCTCAGCCTCTCGTAAAACCGCGTACGGGCGACACTCGTAGTCAGCACCGCCGTTAGAAGGGGGACGTCAACAGCGCCTACAAGAGCGCTACTCACCAGAGTGCCACTCACCGGCGCGAACATATAGCGACGTCATCAGCGCCAAGAGAGCGCTACTCTCCGGCTTCATCAGAACGCCACATACCGGCACGACAGGTGATAGCAGCACCCTTTTATTTTTCTTCGGCTCACGGCTTCGTTGGAGCAGTTGATTGTTTATTGTTTTCTGTTCTCTTTCACATCCTTCGTATGAAATTTTTGACAGTCCTCGCCGCAAAAGCAAAAACAAAATACATGTACATTTTGTTATTGTTATTTATTTATTTATTTATTATTATTCCAACACAACAACCCACTGGTTATATTTCAGCGTTAGATGCAATAGGAACAGATTTCATATATAAATAACACTAAATACAATTTAATCTTAACAGTTACACTTCACTGCTTATTAACTATTTATATTAGAGAAAGAGAAAGATAGAAGAGATGAAAAAATAAAAGAGAGAAAAAGAATCGGCTGACAGAGGGCTAAATGATTACAATTTATCGTTCCCTTTCGGCATAGAATGTAAATAATGCTTTCTTGAAATGCAATGTGGCCTTAATGCTTCTGAGTTTAAGTGGTAGTTTGTTCCAAAGACGGACAGTATAAACGAAAAACTGACGCTCGGATATTATGGAGTTGAACTTAAGATGCAGGAGTTGAAGTGATCGCGATGACTGTGTAAATTGAAGTCGATTTTTCAGATGCGTATGTGCACCTATTACCAAGATTTTATGAAGCATTGTTAGGCACTTAAGCTTCAACAAATCAGTAAGTGATATTGAGGATACCTTGAGAGCCCATGGGGAGATGTGGTCATAACGTTTTTTACAATAGATATATCTTGCGATGTTATTATACAGTACATTGAGTTTTTGTTCGACGTTTACTATATTTGTTATTGTCTAAAGCAAGTTTATTTCAAGAAAAAATAGCAACAGTTCAAGAAAGAATATTATAATATATGTATGTATGCAGATGAAAACTAGATAACTAATGAATATGATTTGTGTTTTCAATTGTTATTCAGAACTTTCTTTTCCCATTAATGTCGTTCATATAATAAATTCAAGGATGCCCGGTATTGACTAAAAAAGTTTCGGAAATTAGCTTCATTCGCAGAGTCTGATTCATCAGCAATTTCCAGTTTTACAGCTGCTGGCATCTGCGGAAAATCCCTTTCTGTTTCGGTATAATTAGTTTTGAGGTCTTCTTTGATGTTTGATTTGAATTTTATGAACTCTTCCATTGAAATTTCAGTTTCAGTCTCTCGCATGCTACAAATATTCGGATTATTCTCGCTATTAGGTAGGTTATCATTTACATCATCTTCATCGTCGTTATTAAAAATTGGCTCCAAAGTGGAGGACAGATTCAAAGAATTTAAAGATTGTTGCGAAAGAGATGGGGTCTGTGGTGTTGCCAACCCATAATCTGTCTCCCCAGGTTGAGCCATACCACCCAATAGTTCACTTGAGGAATTATTTTGTTGATTAGGACTAAAAATATGAAATTATTTAAAACTGATATTGAAAAAAAAATACTTTCGTACCATATTTCAACTACGATTTTTTTTACTTCCATTGAGCCATCTTCGTACATCGGCAAGTAATCTCCAAAGAAATGTAAGACCTGTTCTTTGCCGCAATTTCCATAATAGCCAGCATATTCAGGCCGAAAATCTTCTCCTAAATGCAACACCGAGTCATGGGGATTCTCAAATAAGTCGACAGGTAATTCAATAACTTGCTCTTCTTCCGCTGACGCAACGCCCGCACGACCTAGCCCATCTGATTTAAGGCGGCGTTGTTGAGCTTGAATAGCTGCGCATTCGTCAGAGGCTTGTAACTTCTCTTCCAAAATGCAGGTTTCATTTTGGAAACACAAAATTGTTTGGAAACGTAGCCCACTTTTCTGAATGTTTGATAAACCGCCGTGTGACATAAAACACAGATCACCCAACATTCTATCGGCCACCTGGCGGTACTTCAGTTCCTCGGCTAAGCGCTGTAATTGAACGGTTGTATCTGTCCTAACATTTTTCTCTGCCTTATCAATTTCACCCAAAAGCTGATAGGTATGACGACGAATTTTCGCCAATAAGTCCAGACGATGTCGTTGGAAGTTTTCGTTCTTATACTGCAATAGTAAGTCCTCTTCCGCTTCCGGTGTGGCGTTCAATCGATCAAATTTGAACTGCTCAAGATGTTCCAAGAATATGGAGCGGTTCTTTATTTTGAATATGAAATGCGTCGAGTTCAAATAGTCCTCAAGTGCTACTAAATCAAGCAATATTACAGTTCCGTCCCGATTCCAACGTAGAAAATCGTAGAAATCCAAATGGACAACTAACCACAATTTGTACGGAAAGGGAAAATTCAAGATGTCTTGCCTAGTAACGAATGAAGACATTTCCGTTGAGCTCCCTATTGGAAGCACAAACGATTCAGCTTGATTTTGCATTTCTCAAAGAAAAATTTCGCAAATTAACAGAGAATTATTTTTATATATGTATATTTTATTTTTTATTTTTCAAAATAACCTAAATTTACGTGTGAAAAAACGAACGGAAGAGGAAACGTGAAGCCGACTGCAATAGGGTTGCAAACCCTTGAAAATGGTAAATGTTCTATGTGGAGGTTTGGATAAAGCGAAGGCATAATTCGGCTTTAAATGAAAGGAGATTAAATAAAAGCCTCAATTCAAATTTAAGTGTTATAGTTGAAATTTGCGAGAAGTTTTTAAATTTATATCCTTTCGTATTATGTAAGGAATAAATTAAAAAAAAGAAAGTATTACTGATGCCCACTAAACTAGTAGTACTAATAAATGAATCCATATGCATGGATAAAATAAAAAGTAAAAAAAAAAAAATAAATAAAATTACTAGATTTCAGTAATCGGTTGTAAACTGTTAAAAAATAAAAAGAAGTTGTAATTTTTGTCCATAGAAACGAAAGCGGATAATTCATATTTTGCAACACAAAAACATCGTTCGTGAAGATTAAGTGCTTTGGAAAAAATTCATGTTTGAATGCACAAGGGTAAAATAGAGTTCTTTTCAATATCCCACCAGTTTCATTCATTCAAATGATAGTTACATAAAACTAGGCAATCGTTTGATATTTATACAATTTTATACATTAGTTATCGTTCTATGTTAAAATATATCTTCCGCTGTTGTTTAAGCTCCGACGGCATAGTTATAATTCACAATTGATCACATTCTGGAGTAAAATGTCCCACCAGTCATAATTGAATTGCTTTGGCGGTAATAAATATTGAAAATCAAAATGGAAGCTGCAAAAAGCACAAAAAAGCGTACGCTACTTGCAAGTTGCAAAATATATAAGTTTAAACAATTTCAGCAACTCACATAAATAGAGCTTTCGCACGAGTGCTGGTTTAGTTTAAACATCAGATATAATCAGCAATAAAAATTTCCATATTTGTTTCCAAAACCGCCTAAATCATCATAGTGGCAAAAATGAAATTTGGTAACCCTGAACTGCAGGCAGAGTTTCATACGTCAAATCGTTATTCCAACACAAAATTTTGTAAAATGGCAGATAGATGAAATCAAGGCGTATTTAACAAGGTGGTGTTGGGGCGACAGCTGAGTTTTTCGCCGCGGAGGGCATTACGTCAAAATAATGTGTTTGTTGTAAAGGCCTGTATGCAGTTCTCAAGAAAAGCTAAAATTCCATACAAAATGACGTACAAGAAATGGCTAAGAAATTTTCTTAAGTCAAATTTCCTTCAGGCAGTACGCTGTTCTTAAGAAATTTGCTACGCTTTTTACTACGGTTTTCTAAAGTTTTTTGCATCCATACAACAACGTTGGCAACAAATATGATTTAGCTATAAGCAGCCTAGTTTTTACCGGCAATAGGTTTTGAGTTGACCATTTAGTAGGGACACGAATTTCGATACGATACGATACCATATCGATACTTTTGGCATTCGATACCGATATTTTCTACTCGATAGTTTCAAAACGACATTTTTTGGAATCGAGTACCAGAACCCTAGTATCGTATCGAATGTCATAAACTCACATTCCAACACTGAGGGAAAACATTTTAGAATAAAAAAAAACGTGCTCAATTGAAAAAATACGCATATGAAAGAGCACCAACCCAACTCGTTTTAAATTTGAGTATATACGTTATCAAATATGTGGTTGTGAAGTGCACAGATGATTTTTCGTAATTAAGAAGAACAAAATTAATTTTATGTTCCGTCTGATGGTAATTCAACCCGGACCCTCTCGGCCGCAACCAATTGTATCAAGCGTCTTTGCATACTCAGCTACAGCCATACATGTAAAGGTGTTTTCAAATGTTGAGTTTGAATCAACATCACAGCTCGCGATTAGTGTAATTAGTCTGTTCCAATAGCAGTCCGGTTTACAGGATTTAGTCAGAACTTACAGGAAGTCGTTCCTATTGACATAAAACCTGTAAGTGGGAACACCTTTCAGAGAGTAACTGAGCGACTGTTCCTAGTCGGAAATTACATGATTTAGTCCGGAGTTTTTTTCCTGTAAGTTCATGAAAAGTGTCAAACGATCAGCTGATTTGCATGTGCAAACAAAAACAGAAAGCGGTGGAAGCAAAGAACCTTATATTTGTTAAAAAATGCAAGTAAACAACAAAATATTTCAATATGTGTAGATTTTAATAATTAATTAGTGATATTTCAGCCAAATCAGTGTTGTACAAATGACATGTAAACAAACCGACTGACGTCGGTAAAGTAGGTACAATTGTACCTTTTTCCGACGTTTGATGACTTAAGCTATCTGCACACTTGTCGTCCAATCATAGTTGCGTTATCGTCTCGCCCTGAAATTTTGAGCCGAGCACATGCATCTAAAAGGAGATCTGCACACTTGTCGTTATCGGCTAGTAATCGGCAAATCGTAGAAGATGCAGAAACGGATAATTACGGCACTGTAGTTTGCTAATCGTTGTGCACGTATTGTTTGTTTACATTTTATGTTAAAAAGTTAATATTTGCATAAAATTGTATACAAATTAGTATTTCTTCCATAAAATCTGTGGAAATTATTAAAAAGTGGATAATTGCATTAAAATTCAATAAATGTGAGCGTTTTAACTATAAAATATGACGAAATTGTAAAAAGTCTCTGTGTGCATGCACAAAACACATTTCAGGAAAAGAAAAGAAGAGATATTACTGAAAAAGTGAATTTTTAGACGCCAAATGAATTGAAATATCACGACCGAGTGTGCGAAAGCGTAGTCGTCATGTAATCGTTGCATCATGATTGCAACGATGAAGCAACTATGATTGGACGACCAATGTGCAGAAAGCTTTAAAGGTACATTAGGTACAGTCAGTAGATTTTAGGTACAATTACACTGCGGAACAAATTCGGGTTAGCAAAAGTTAAGTCGATTTTGAGAGTGAGGGGTGAAAATAGAGGCTAAGTTAGAAGACCCGTATCGCGGCGTTTGTTTATGTTAGTTCGATTTTTTTTTTTTTATCGACCTTCGAACTTTGCAGTCAAGTGCCGATTTTCAGCATATTGTTTATATGGCTTTTTGGCTATAACTCGTCGACTAATTGATATTTTTTCAATCTGTTAAAGCCAAATTATTGCTAGAGACCTGTGCAACAATTAAAATTTTTCAAAAAATTGATTTAGAAAATTTTTGTAGTGCTTATGAAGCAAAATGTTGGAATTTTTTTCTTTTGCTTTTTGATCATATTTCCACAAAACTAAGTCTTTTTTGCTTTCTGTTTGATCTATAATATGCTTCTCAGTTTCTTCAATAAATTCCATTTGAGAAGAAAACATTCATAATACAAAACTTGCGTTTTCCAGCTTAATATTAATTTACTTCTCATTTCTTATGTACCAATTTTTTCAGTGTTGGATTTGAAAAAACATTTNTACACATACGCGTTCCACAAGTAAGTTTTAGAGTTTATTTGATATACGCTGACAGCATGAACTTTGCTCGAGTTTTACTACAAGTAGCTTGTGGAACAAACCTATTAATTTACTTCTCATTTCTTATGTACCAATTTTTTCAGTGTTGGTTTTGAAGAAACATTGAAAAAGAAATTATAAAAATATGGAAAAAAATAAAATTTTGAAATGTTAGTTATGAAAAGTTTTAAGTAAAAAAATTAAATAAATTAAATTAATGATTTGGCCAGTTGCCGTTTAGCAGGCGGCTGTGGATCAACATCACTGCTCTCTCTAATATCTTGGTCATCGTCATCATCATCAGAAAGGTCGATAATTTCGTCCAACAGATATTCTGGAATTTCATCTTTGTCTTCCCCTTCTTCCTCTTTTTCCTTTTTCAAAGGTGTTCAAAGGCTTAACAGCATCTGGCCGTCCAAAATATCCGTGTTTTTTGTGCGATTGGGATTCACGATACGGAGAAGGTATTAAAGGAAGAAACCAGTACAAACAGCATAACTGGAATAGTCGCATTGGACGGAAATGGCCTAAAGACAATAGGCTACACGAAAGTCTTGTTCCTGAAATGAAAATTTTGTTGCCGTTGCTCCACATTAAACTTGGCGTTGCTAAACATTTTTTGAAATGTATCGCAAAAAGACCAGCAGTATTCAACCGCTTAAAAGACATTTTCCCAAGACAAAGTAACGCCAAAATTCAGGAAGGGATTGTTAATGGTCCCGACCTACGGAAACTAATGAGTCGTCAAGATTTTGACCAAGTTCTGACAGACCGAGAATTAAATGCATGGCTCGCATTGAAAGCAGTCATTAAAGGACTTTTGGGTAAAGAACGCAAAGACAACTACAGGCAATCTGTTGCAAACATGTTGGCAGCTTTCGATGAAATTGGGGTTAATATGTCGTACAAAATTCATCTCTTGCATCAGCATCTTGATCAACTCGCTCAACAGTTGCCAACTGAATCTGAAATTTGTTGGTGGTATAAAAACACCTTTGAAGAAGAGGAAGACGCGGAAAAAGAGGAAGAAGCGAAAGACAAAGATGAAATTCCAGAATATCTGTTGGACGAAATTATCGAGCTTTCTGATGATGACGATGACCAAGAAATTAGAGAGAGCAGTGATGCTGATCCACAGCCGCCTGCTAAACGGCAACTGGCCAAATCATTAATTTAATTTATTTAATTTTTTTACTTAAAACTTTTCATAACTAACATTTCAAAATTATATTTTTTTCCATATTTTTATAATTTCTTTTTCAATGTTT